TGAATTTCTGAAAGTGATGTGACATTTGACAGCCGAAATCTTATATATAAAAGTGAACAAACATGCACTTAGGAACCCTTAGGAATGGCTTCATTCATAAAGAATACTGTATTTCTTATTCAGCTGTGCTTGAATCATTTACATTTGAAACATGTACTAATATATGAATTTCGTCTGAAAAATATTTTCATCTTAATTTCCAAGAAACAATATATTCAAAGGTCGGGAAAATCTTTACAGGGTGATGGAAATCGTATATGGACAGGGTGAGGGAAATCTGACATGGACAGGTGAGGGAAATCTTACATGGACAGGCTGAGGGAAATCTTCTATGGAGACAGTCAGGCTGAGGGAAATCTTCTATGGACAGGCTGAGGGAAATCTTACACGGAGAGAGTGAGGGAAATCTTACATGGACAGGGTGAGGGAAATCTTACATGGCCAGAGTGAGGGAAATCTGACATGGAGAGAGTGAGGGAAATCTTACATGAACAGGGTGGGGGAAATCTTACATGGACAGGCTGAGGGAAATCTTCTATGGACAGGCTGAGGGAAATCTTACATGGAGAGAGTGAGGGAAATCTTACATGAACAGGGTGGGGGAAATCTTACATGGACAGGCTGAGGGAAATCTTACATGGACAGGGTGAGGGAAATCTTATATGGACAGGTTGAGGGAAATCTTATATGGACAGGGTGAGGGAAATCTTACATGGCCAGAGTGAGGGAAATCTTACATGGAGAGAGTGAGGGAAATCTTACATGAACAGGGTGGGGGAAATCTTACATGGACAGGCTGAGGGAAATCTTACATGGACAGGGTGAGGGAAATCTTATATGGACAGGTTGAGGGAAATCTTATATGGACGGGGTAAAGGAAATCTTACATGGACAGAGTGAGGAAAATCTTACATGGACAGGCTGAGGGAAATCTTATATAGACAGGTTGAGGGAAATCTTATATGGACAGGCTGAGGGAAATCTTACATGGACAGGGTGAGGGAAATCTTACATGGACAGGGTGGGGGAAATCTTACATGGACAGGGTAAAGGAAATCTTACATGGACAGGGTGAGGAAAATCTTACATGAACAGGCTGAGGGAAATCTTATATGGACAGGCTGAGGGAAATCTTATATGGACAGGGTAGAGGGAATCTTACATGGACAGGCTGAGGGAAATCTTACATGGACAGGCTGAGGTTGACAGGCTGAGGGAAATCTTATATGGACAGGCTGAGGGAAATCTTACATGGACAGGCTGAGGGATAGCTTGTTTTATATTGCCTCTCTCTCCCAGTACCGCTACTGTAAACACACAGAATGGATGGTTTTGGTATTGATAATGAGATCTGTGCAGAGTACCATGGTGGCGGTCTGTCTGTTGTCCGTCCGTTCGAGCATCCAGGATCCAAGCATCAAGGTGACATTGTGTTTATTGAGAGTGTAAATCGTGTAAGTGTGTATCCTTAAAGAAAGCCACCGAGCGATACTCAAAGGCTGGAAGACCTAAAGTGACACGTGATCTCAATCAGTCACAATGAAATTTTCATTTTGCATACGTCACCAGTATCATACCTACCAAAACATAATCTTGATTGGACGTACCTTTTTATATTATTTAGAATATGAACACGCTGTTGTTTTTTGTTTTTTTAGAACAATGCTCTCAGTTTATGTGACGAAGGTAAATTGAATGTGTAACTGTTGGGAACTTAAGGTTTCAAATATTAGTTCTGCTAAAAGCAGGAGTACTTTGTACCATTCCGACTATATCATGAGTTTCTGAATCACCATCAAATAGTGATACCAGGTTTTGCGAAAGGATGAACGTATCCAGCCCTACCGCTACGCGGCGGCAACCGCCACAAACACATGCAAAGGCAAATAAGTTGTTAACCTAACAAAATCACGGGAACATATAGTACAAGGCAAAATAGGAATTTGCATCAGACATTTTAGTAGTTGATGCCTCAAATTTGGACGTGTCCTCCACATGTTAAAATCAAAAACAAATTTATGAATCTGTCATATGTAAAAGTAGTATTGTAGTGTGAGAAAAAAAAAGCGCTCAAAAGCGCTCAAGTGCAGTATTAAAATATTTTTATGTGACAAAAATAAAAGATATTTTGATTTTGATTGACACCAATAAATGCCAGCTTTCCGTGACAGATACAGCCGATCTTAAATATGAAGCATACGGCGTGACACCTCTGACAAGATATTGGCAGTAAATATTAAACATACCTGTGTACAATTAAATTGATTCACTTGAGTTATATAACACTTTATTGCGGAACTACTTTCTGTCTGCCTCAATAACAGGAAGACCTTGAAGACTAATAAATAGAACATAAATTTGTTCTTTTCAAGTCTTAAAGCTTGTTTATCCAATCTCGGGAGCAGAAAAAGAATGATATCGTTATGTCCTGGGGCTATTTTTAAGTGACAGCAAAACCAATTTTATGAGGGCGTAAACGCTATTTCCTGCATTTTGGAATCGTTTATCTTAGATTTTATTTGTAACGAATATAGGTAATTTATTTAGTATATTTTTTTATTAAATATATATAAGTGAGTGAGTGAGTGAGTGGGTCGGGTTTTACGCCGCTTTTAACAGTATTCCAGTTATATCACGGGGTGTCAGCTTAATGTGGGAGGAAAGCCCGAAGTGATGCAGGTCTCATACGTTTACCACTTCTGTGAAACCCACGAGCACGGGTATGGTGCTGACAAACCTAGAAACATCATCGGGGCAAACCGGGATTGAAACCAACAATCATAGGTTTTATGCCGTGCCCAAGGGACGCAACTCTGGACAGCGAATCGCGGCGCCTTAGACGACTGGGCCACCCGTGCCCCCTATTAAATATATATAAACGTGTTTCACCAACATATTTTCGACACAATGAAATACATATTCAATATAAAGTCACCATGTTATTGACAGAATCGTAGAATCTTGATCTTTGAATAAACCTTGAAATGTTTGTGACAAATCAGTTATAATTCAAGGTTAGGGTAATTCGACGGTTCCGCCCTCCAGCAAAGTCGTCAATCACTTCGTCAATGGCGATGGCAATTTCATTGTGGAAGTGGAGGAGTGCCACAAAGCTCATTCTCTCGTTGGTCATTGTTGACACGAGGTATGTCTTCATCCGCCCCATTGTGCTGAACCAACGTTCTGCAGTGGCAGAGTGACCAGGGTTTTCACAGCTATGATAAGCCATCTACCACTAAAATCCTAAAGTGCGATTTTCAAGTTAGACAATAAACATAACGTTCGAGCTTTTTGGGGGTGTAAAAAACATATTGTGTTTTTTGTTCGGTGTGAGCAATTGCTTTTCTGTTGCATTAGTAGTTCCGCCCCTGTATATCAGGTCACAAGATATTATCAACATGTTATTTGACAGGAATGCCAAATATCCCGTACATACTAGTTCGGTATGTTGTGCTAATTGGTTACATATTGAAATATACTCGCATGAACCTGCATGCACTCATACAATGTCATACCACTAAAAGGCCCGTGAAGATCCGGGGTAGAATAGGTCTTCAGCAACCCATGCTTGCCGTAAAAGGCGACTATGCTTGTCGTAAAAGATGACTAACGGGATCGGGTGGTAAGGCTCGCTGACTTGGTTGATGCATGTCATCGGTCCCAATTGCGTGGATCGATGCTCATGTTGCCAATCACTGGATTGTCTGGTCCAGACTCGATTATTTACAGACCGCCGTCATACATGTATAGCTGGAATATTGCTGAGTGCGGCGTTAAACAAAATGTATGTCTTAAAGAAACGATCATGCAGCATCCATGAAATATCAGTGCCTTAACTCAAAGCTTTAAATCTATAACATTCTTATTCATGCTCACATAATTCAAAGAAACAAGCCATTATTTCTTATATATATGATTGACGTTACGAGGGATGGCTGAAGTGTTCTCAGCCTAACTAGGAAGGATGTATAATACACCCTTAACAACTTGTATGTATTCAGTAAAAAAACATTTCATATGTGCAGGCCGCATTTGAACCAAATATACAACAAGGCTTGAGCTTGACTAGGTAATATCTGTTGATGAAGATGGTCAAAACTGGCTACCGTGCTGTCATCAAATATCTACAACTCCAACACCACCCCATGCGGACATGATGTCCACTTACGGAAGTCATGCCACTTCCTTTGCCGCTGTCCAGAGGTGATCAGTGGGGTTCAAGAGGAGAAGAGACAGCCTTATGTTCAAAGATCTGTGACGCCTTCAACTGCCATCTCTGAGCAAAATATTGATACAATATAGGATATGATTATGTATGATTGACGAGTCATAACCAATATCGTAGGAATATCTTACGAGAAAGTTGAGAACACTCTAGGCAATGAACTTGGCACGACACAGGTTTTAGCAAGCTGGGTTAAAAGGCTGCTGACTCCTGATAAGAAACACTCCAGGTCGTCTGAAGTGCGAATGTGCGTCATTTTGAAGCAGAGCCATCTGACTTTGATGAGCGATTTGTAACAATGACGGAGTGTTGTTTTCACGACTATCACCCAGAGACTCTACTGGAAACATCTAACGTGTCCTTCTCTGAAGAAGGCAAAGTCTCATCCAACAGAAAGAAGGGCGGTCGGGTAGCCTAGTGGTTTAAGCGTTTGCTCTTCACCCCGAAGACCCGGGTTCGATTCCCGACATGGGTACACTGTGTGTAGCCCATTTCCGCTGTCCCCCGCCGTGATATTGCTGGAATATTGCTAAAAGCGGCGTAAAACCATACTCACTCACCAATCAGAAAGGAATCCTACTTAATCGCCAATATATGTGGACCTCGGAGGAGATTATGTTGAAAAACACTCAGCAACTAACTCCGTCCAACATAGTTTGGTTCTGAACTTTTCCGTCACAGCTCTAGAACCCTTTCACCCTGTTGATGATCATTATATAACAATAAAGATAATATTCACACGGCATTCTAGATTACACGTAAAAAGAAAGGTAGCTTATAACAAGCAAAACCATTTTATTCAACAATCATTTAAAATGACCAACATTTACCATAATATTGAGGTAAGAAGATGATTCATGGCATCCCGCATCAGCGTAAAACGAATTCATCCTAGGTCAAATATACCACCCCAAAGCAGTTGATTGGCGTGATCACCGATCCATTCCTGAAATACAACTTTTTTTGTGAGGGATGTGGAGGTCATTTTGGTCTTTTTTATTCAGAATCCCAAGATGAATAAACGGTCGGGTGTCTTGAAATCCCTTTTTTGGATAAGCTGAAGGCAACTACTTATTTGTTGTCGTGTTTCATTTACAATGTCTTATTCCATTTTGTTATTTCCGCACTTTATTTATAACGCAGATTTAAACAGCAACTCAGGTATACCACTTCGTTGAAACCCACGAATATAGTGCTGAGAAATCAAGTGTCATAATCAGTATGAATATGGCATTGGAACCAACAATTCTGGTCAAAATCATCAATAAAATATTAATTAAAACGCTAGGATCCTTCAACAAACGTGATAATAACTGAACGCACCCTAGATAACTGGACAAGATATCAGTGACAGTTTGTTAGCAAATACCTGTATAGCATAAAAATACAAATTTCAAGAATGCTCTCGAGCAACAATTCAGAACCCTGCAAATGTTGAAATGAAAAGGTTATGGAAAGACCAGGAACCGTTCCTTCGTACTTATAATTTGGTATCAGTTATAAAGGTGTGGTAAATCACGGTAAAAGGTGAAATTGTGGATTCTAAAGATAATGAAACCAAACTTCTTTAACAAAACAGTTATCTGTTTATATCTATTGTGTATACCTCGTGTGCATTCTTTCAAGTAACGTTATGCTTGGAAAATCACCAGGGGGCTCGTCCTACTTTTGTGATTGATGGGAGATTTTAAATAGATTAATTAATTGTCAACCATCAACATACATGACGTTGTCATGAAGTAGGTTGTTTGAAAAACCCCATAAAGTACAGATTTAGTAACTCATTTTTGGTTTTTATCTGGTCTTTTAACAGTCATCAAATAACCTAACAATGGTACCTAACAGTGTTCACTAAAGGCACTAATATTTCTACGTAATCCATTACCATATCGTTGTAGATACTTCAGATACTATGTTCGCATTTCTACTTCTGTTCCATGAACCACTGATACGTATTTAAACGAGCTGAAACGTTAAATCCCTGGGCATGTAATCAAGGATTACATCGAGCGATTCCAAAAGGCGCGAGGACCTAAAGTAACACGTGATCCAAATTCGTCGAATTCCCTTTCTGCACATTACACCAGTGTTATAACTTCTTTTTAGGATTTACGGTAGTAACCCCAGCGATGTTCAACGCTTGGAATAAGTACACGGTGGCTAGATTTAAGTAACTCAGGGATCGTTAATTCAACTTTATTCAATAAATATGGAACTTATTTTATCTTGTTGCCAATCACATCATCGATAAGGTTATTAATGTGCATATAGTTATAATACACAATCAAAGATTGCATTTTAAGGTTCATCTAAGTAATTTAGTAACTGAAAATATCGATATGCACAAACATTCACCAACATCGTTTACTTTTGTACATCACCCTGTTCTGACAGATTAATCTGTTGGGTTGTCGGGAAGATGGACGGGGGTGCAGACACGTCTAAACATAGATTACAAGACTGAACATACATAAATGTCTCCTGCAAAGATCCGGGTTAGAACTGATCTTCAGTGTCCTTCTGTTATGACCTATTGTACTATTGTGTAATGTGTCCACGATCCTTCTCCTGTTGTTGTGTGATGAAGAACTTCTCCACAATGTCCGACGTTCTTCGTCAGCAATGGAAGTTAGCCTCCACCTGGCGTCCGGCCCGTGGCACCACCGGTCGGACATTGCTGTGTTGCCCCAGGTAACTGCCGTCAGACATCCGGGAACTCTGCAGTATCAGAAGCTGAAAACAGGTATTACCCTTAGTGTTAGTTGTTTTGTTTTTTGTTGTTGTTTTTAAGTGTGTTTTTATTTTATTTTTTTTTTTTTATAAAGATACATTATAAACCTATATTAGTGAGTGAGTGAGTTTGGTTTTACGCCGCTTTTAGCAGTATTCCAGCAATACCACGGCGGGGGACACCAGAAATGGGCTTCACACATTGTACCCATGTCGGGATTCGAACCCGGGTCTTCGGCATGACGAGCGAAAGCTTTAACCACTAGGCTACCCGACCGCCCCTAACCTATATTAATATAAACGGTTTGGAGATACCGTTTTTATTACGTATGTATTTCAAAGTGATCAAGCGGATGTACCTTGTCATGGGTGATATACGTGTGGCCAAGTCGCATAAGGCGTCGCAATTCGCCGTGCAGAGTGGCGTCCCTTGGGCAGATCAGAAAACTATGATTGTGGGTTCGAATCCCGGTTGGCCCAGATATGTTTCTAGGTTTGTCAGCACCATACCCGTGCTCTTACCAAAGTGGTAAACGTCTGATATCTTCGGGCTTTCCTCCCACATTAAACTGACATATCAATATATATCAGTCATGGCCTGATGAGACTGATATATCCGTGATATATTCCTGGACTGACTCACTCACTCATGGATGATATCTATAAGGTGTCATTACCTTGTCACGGCTGATAAATACTGGGTCCTTCATCACCATCCAGCGCACAGACTCAGAACACGGAGGCGTGGTCAGTGACCCGTGGTATGCATAGAAGTCCTTCTGCCATGGAAACAGCTGACGAACATCCACTGAGAAGGGTATCTTGTTGCCTGAAAGTCACAAAACAGGGGTCAGCTATAGGTACTACTCCAAAGAGGTTCAAGAACACCTTGGCATGACAGATGTACTATAGTCATATGAACAAATCTGATGTTCTTGAACTTTTGCTACTACAGTAAACTACGTTTATAACGAACACGCTTATAACGAACTGACGGATATAACGAACTATTTCTTGGTCCTGTCCATTTGCTGTATATATTCCGTATTAGCGAACTAGGGTTATCACGAATTAAAATTAGTGGTCACTTTGAATTCGTTATAACCGTAGTTCCCTGTAGTATATATTCATTATGTACTTTATGTCTCCTAGAATGGAATATACTCTTGTCTTGTTCAAACTATTTGCTATGAAACGTCATATCATATTCATTTAATGGTTTCCGCTAAAGAATTTCCCAACTGTGCCTGTGCGCCGCACTCAGCAATATTCCAGCTAAATGATGGCGGTCTGTCAATAATCAAGACTGGACCAGAAAATCCAGTGATTGACATTATGAGCATCGATCCATGCAATTGGGATACGATGACATGCATCAACCACGTCAGCGAGCCTGACCGCCCGATCCCGTTAGTCGCCTCTTACGACAAGCAATGTCGCCTGTTACAGCAAGAATTGGTTGCTGAAGACCTATTCTACCCCGGGTCTTCACGGGTCTTTGTTGTATGAGGAGACAAGATGTGATCGAGTCGTCGGACTTAGTGCCGAGCGCCAGACAGGGCAACAACAAGTACCATCTTTTTAACGTCTTTTTGACGCGGCCGGGGATGGAACCCCGGACCTTCGCTCTCCGGGCGGACGCTCTACCACTAGAGCACGGAGGCGGTCTCCTCAATAAACAAAACTAATACGTAAATGAACGTGTATCGTTGACTGGGTTTTCTCTATACTTTTCCGTACTTGGTTTGCATAGTCCAGACCCGAGTTATTTACAGAAAGCCGTGATACAGGTGGAAAAAGCATTAAATAACATTGTACACTTACCTTTACCTCCAGCCAGCCCGCAAACCCGTATGAGACGGTTCATTTCAGCATTTGGGGACACGTGGGACAACTGTGAGAAAAATAAGTCAGCGAGTGAGAACGCCACTTTCAACTATTTTATATCAAGGCTGGGTACAATGTGTGAAGCCCATTTCTGGTGTCTCCCGCCGTGATATTGCTGGAATATTGCTAAAAGCGGCGTAAAACCATACTCACTCACTTATATCAAGGCGTGTCGGTTTAATGTGCGAGGAAAGCCCGAAATGATGCAGGTCTCAGACGTTTACCACTTTGGTGAAAACCACGTGCTTGGGTGTGGACTTGTCAAACCTAGAAACATTATCGGGGCGAACCGGGATTCGAACCTACTGTCATAGGTTTCTGGCGCACCCAAAGGGACACAGCCCTTAGACGGCTCTCTGTCTATTCTGGAAATGCTGCAAAACTCTCTAACACAGAATGTTTTTGGTACTTTGGCGATACGGTTTGATATTGCCACATAAAGGTGTTAACAGTAACTTGACAAAGAACATAGCTTTAGCAGGACCGCTGAACAAAACATTGAAGAAGGCACACCCATGGGAAGACTAGTGGATAATAAATTGGTAGATTGGCGGAGCCTCACACAGTGAGTGAATGAGTATGGTTTTACGCCGCTTTTAGCAATAGTCCAGCAATTTCACGGCGGGGGACACCAGAAATGGGCTTCACACATTGTACCCATGTCGGGAATCGAACCCGGGTGTTCGGCGTGACGAGCGAACGCTTTAACCACAAAGCTACCCGACCGCCCCGAGCCTCACACAGAAGGAATTATTTAATGGTTATTTTTGTAGCTGTGAACATTACATGATGTAATACATTCCACAGAAACTTTTGCAGTGTTGAAAATATCAGCTCGTTGGGCTCCAAAGCTGTGACATTTGATCTCTCGATAATCTAGCTCTGTTTGAATTTGATCCAGAAAGGTTCTTGCAACGATTTGAGATTATGAATGGTGCTGAATCCAAACAACAATCAAAACAGTCAGAACGTTTGACGTCACCACCACCAAAGAAGGCAAAGACTGTCTATCAGCTGGAAGGGATGTGGACTCCGAGTTCTGGGATGCCGCGGGTGTCATCGTTGTGAACGATCTTACAAAGGGCCAGACAATAAACGGAGCATAGATGCTGTACCTTTGAGGCAATTACGGGAGGAAATGAAGGCGAAGAGACGGGGAGCTGAGAAAAGCTGTGCTCTTCCATCATGACAACGTGCTACTGCACAACACATAACCATGGCGACAATCCATGAGTGTGGCTTCAGCTCCTTCAGGAATCGCCATATTCTCCTGATCTGGCTCCGTCAGACTTCCATACGTTCCCAGACATAAAGAAAGCTCTTTCCTGAACCCATTTTGACTCGACCGATGACGTCATAGCTGCTGTGGAGAACATTTTGGACAGCCAAGAGAAGGACATCTTCTAAACTGGAGGTGGCACGGGTGGCCCAGTCGTCTAAGGCGCCGCGATTCGCTGTGCAGAGTTGCGTCCGATGGGCACGCCAGAAACCTATGATTGTGGGTTCGAATCCCGGTTCGCCCCGATTATGTTTCTAGGTTTGTCAGCACCATACCCGTGCTCGTGGGTTTCACCGAAGTGGTAAACGTCTGAGACCTGCATCACTTTCCTCCCACATTAAGCTGACACGCCGTGATACAACTGGAAAACTGTTAAAAGCGGCGTTAAACCAAACTCACTCTAAACTGGAATACAATCCTTCCAATATCGTTGACAACAGTGTACCAATATGGAAAGGGTCTATATTGAAAGATAAATCAGTTTAAAGAATTTAGATCAAGTCTTTTTACGCGAGGCTCAGAAATATCAATCAACTCTCACATACCTGAAGGAAAATTCCAACAACAGCGAGGCCATCATGTCGCTTGACGGCCTCCGACACGCTACCGTACTCCCTCTTGTAATGGACCAAGTGAAGCTACAGGAGACACAAGTAAACTGTATAGAGGTCATGTTTTAATATGTCATCTTCTATCAATCCTATAAAGGCTTTCCGAGATTATTTGTTCTGCTTTATATGGAATTACGTAGCTCCATAACCAAATATCAAAGTATTGAACATCTTAAGGCATTAAAGTTTGTGTAGAATTCAGCTTTGTCTGAAGCGGCTGTTGAGAGAACTCACATCATTTGCAAGTTTCTGTGCTTAACAATCGGCAATCTTTCTATATTTCCATTGACCAAAACGAAAAGCTTGATAAACTGAGTGGGTCGGGCGGAAAACCTCCTGGTCGACATGAAAAAAATAAATAAATTAAACCAGTGCCTGGCTATTAAAATCTATAAATCAGGACATAATAAGGTGTGACATAAGCTGCATCACCTACCTCTCCGTCGTAGCCCACGCTGTCCACCTCGTGCTCTGAGCCATGTCCTGTGCGGTTACCCGCGTGAAAGTGCAGCTGCGCCAGGACATACTCTGAACTCTCCCAATAGGGAACTCCCAGCAGTGCCGGGGATACACTGTTGCTAAAGTCTATAGACACCGCATACCCTGTAATGAGAAGAGAGAAGTGACTGTAAAACATGTGCTGGTTGTACGTGTAGCCATGTCACAAGACCCTTTGTCCATATCAAGTTTGTTTCATAACATTGTATTTTCTAGTTGCAGTGAGGTTTTTATAACTGTGTCTGCAGTATCAAAAGTTTCTCGGTCAATGAGAAACGGCACTATAAGACAAATGTTCTTCCCGGCTTTCTTGAAATGTTGAAATGGTAACGTCAATCTTGAAATATTTATTTGAAAATTATTAAGGCTTCTCTTGATACAATACTATAAGTTGTAGCAGGATCACTCGGGTTACATGGGGTGTGATGCGTCCCGCGTTAGGTTTTATCCCACGAGCCGGATCCGAATTTATCTCGCCGACATGTTGTAATGTGACATTGAAAAAGAATTAACACAAACTCAAAATTGATAGAAAACAGCTGTTCATTTGAGTTGAGGTTTACTCCTGCTATGTCACGTGACTTCCATTGACTCGGAAAAAGCGTGCGGATTTTTGGTTTGAAGCGGGGTATAAGGGATTTATTCTGCCTCTCAGAAATCCACGTGCAGTCTGTATTGCTCGTTGTGGGGTATAAGAGACTAATTCCCCCACTGAGAAATGTATTACCTTCCAATGTGGGTTACACAGTATTTTATCAAGATCACGTGGACCAATCAGATCCCATCATTCTCCAATGGAGGTATGATAAGATTCTGTTCCAAACGTTTATGCTGAATTTAGCGATACCAGAAAATCAACTTGGTCAATAATAATCAGTCTCCCTTTTCTGCCGAGACAGATTCCCTTAGTCGTAAAACGGAAAATAGAGATGGAAATTATATGAATGGATCACTGAAAACCAGGGATGACACCAGGTTTGTTTGTTTGTTTGTTTGTTATTTAACGCCGCACTCACCTATATTCCAGCTATATGACGGCGGTCTGTAAGTAATCGAGTCTGGACCAGACAATCCAGTGATTGACATCATGAGCATCGATCCACGCAATTGGCATCGATAACATGCATCAACCAAGTCAGCGAGTCTGACCACCCGATCCCGTTAGTCGCCTTTTACGACAAGCAAAGTCGCCTTTACGGCAAGCATGGGTTGCTGAAGACCTATTCTACCCCGGATCTTCACGGGCCGATGACACCAGGTGTTCGCATGTCCTGCTTTACCATAGGCACCTGCTAATCACATATTTTGCAAAAGAAGGGTTCCTCTTCACACCACGTGCTTTATACGTCTATCTTGAATGTTGACCGTTTGTCATGTATGGCTGTTAACTAGTGATGTTGCAACTGTATTTGGACGAGTCAATTACATTTGTTCAATAGTTACAGCCCTGAGAGTGTTATATAGCTTATAAAGACCTACACATGTTATATATCTGACAATGACCTACCTGTGCAATATTGCTTACAATGACCTATTTTATATATATCTTACAATGACCTACCTGTGCAATATTGCTTACAATGACCTATTTTATATATATCTGACAATGACCTACCTGTGCAATATTGCTTACAATGACCTATTTTATATATATCTTACAATGACCTACCTGTGCAATATTGCTTACAATGACCTATTTTATATATATCTTACAATGACCTACCTGTGCAATATTGCTTACAATGACCTATTTTATATATATCTTACAATGACCTACCTGTGCAATATTGCTTACAATGACCTATTTTATATATATCTTACAATGACCTACCTGTGCAATATTGCTTACAATTACCTATTTTATATATATCTTACAATGACCTACCTGTGCAATATTGCTTACAATGACCTATTTTATATATAGCTTATAAAGACCTACCTGTGTTATACAGCTTCCCTCGTATTGGCCCGACAGGTTCCGTGGTATACCTTATCCTGTGTGACTGGCTACATTTACAGCTGGCGATTTCAATATTAATAGGAGACTGCCATTCGCCCACACAACAGTCAGCCGCAAGTGTCCATTTGGAAGGACCTGCACAGATTAAAAAAATCCCTGTACATGTTTTGTAATATGAAGGGTGAGTGAATTTTGTTTAACATCACAGTCAGCAATATTGCAGCTACATCATTAAATAAATTTTATGTGTGTTTGTTTGTTTGTTTGTTTGCGGCGGTCTGGAAATAATCGACTCTGGTCCAGACAATCCAGTGATTGACATCATGAGCGGGTCATACATTTTAACCATATGATTCTCCTTTAATTGGGCAGGATATGCTCATCTTTTCGTGAACACCTGGTATCGTCACTGTTTGGTAGTTATTCATTCATCTTAAACGGCAACACCAGAGAATAACCAGTCTCCATTATCCGACAAAACAGATTCCTTTGGGCAAAAAGGCAAAATAGGTGAAAATTATATGAATGGATCATTGAAAATTAGTGATGACACCAGCTGTTGGCGAAAAGGGTTAGCATCAAATCAATGATTTGGGACCGCCTCCGTGGTCTAGTGGTAGAGCGTCCGCCCGGAGAGGGGAAGGTCCGGGGTTCGATCCCCGGCCGCGTTATACCAAAAGACGTTAAAAGATGGTACTTGTTGTTACCCTGTCTGGCGCTCGGCATTAAGGCGCTAAAACAAGGACTGGTCGTCATACCAAAAGACGTTAAAAGATGGTACTTGTTGTTACCCTGTCTGGCGCTCGGCATTAAGAGGCTAAAACAAGGACTGGTCGGCTCGGAGTCAGTATTCTGTGTCTCAGTGGGGTATTTATGTTAAACTGCGGCATGGTATCTCAGTGAGCTAGCACTATAAATCGGCATCAGTCCGGACTAGTACACGCAGACACACACACACACACCTGCATACACGTCGCTATATAAGTGCAATCATCTTGGGCGCGACGTTAAACCCAATTTCACCTCACCTCAATGATTGAGACATTTGTTATGAACATGGAAATGGTTCGAGGCATCAGTTTGAGGACAAGCTACGCGGTTTCATCCGATTCCGGAGTCCCACCAAGGAGGCTCTTCTCCTGCCTCAAGAGGCGCCAAACTCACCGTCATCCGCTACTGGGTTGTAGCTGAATCGTGATGCCGCTGCTGCAATGGCACATTGTTGTGGAAGGCGCACTCTGCTGTCCACATGTTTGTTGATTCCAATATCCAAGAGTTTCGACGGATCAGCAAGGACGGTCACAAACAGAAGCAGAATTCCCCAAACAGACGACATCTCTAAAATCACAAAACTTCCAAGAAAAGTCCACTGAAATTTTCAGTTAGGTTTGCGTCAGTTCTTCGCCGACGTGAAATTAAGTCCTTGAAGAGAGTCTGGTATCTCCAGGAGCGAGCCAACAGTGGGGTCTCGAAAGTGAATTGATAGTGTGACGGTGACGTTGAAATCCCACCGCTACAGCCCCACTAATGGCCTCTCGTTTTCAAGAGAACAAACTGACGTAGAATTCTCGCGGCCTTATATATCGGACATTGCTCTTCTCAGCAACTGTCAAAACATGTGATTGATAACTATTCACAATGACGGATCCAATGTCGTCTGCTCTTTCTTTTGAACCTCTGCCAGCGGTGGGGTTTTCAACGATGATATCAATAGCTCAGCTCTGACGAGGGGGTTTGGCCTGACAGTGATAAATCGAAAGGCTGCTCGTAAATATGGCGGAAAAGTCTTTTTCTTTTACCGAATATCCTCGCGCAAACGCCCAAGCGTTGATGTTTTTATCCCGTTCATGTTCTGCTTGTCACTGGTTTTCCTGGACCCGATGTTGTTGTTTTTTTGTCTGTCTTTTTTTTTATTACGGGTTTCTGAGACCCGATGTTCTTTTTGACAGGTCTGTTATAATCGTGTAGTCGTTGCACAAAGCAGGTCAATATGTAACGAAGGGTCTCGTTAAGCAGATGTACGGTAGGCGTCAATCATCCGGGCCATGAACAGTTCGCCTTTGACAGACTTCAGTCAGCTCGGTAACCCTACGCGGCAACAGAGGGGACAGCGTCCTCGTCTTTACAGTGGGCAGTTGCGAAGTACAAGATGAAACTAAAAGTTTCGCAAGCTAAAAAAATCCCCCTTTTATAGTCTTCTTCTGAATGTATGCTAATTTATCATCCTTATGAGGGAGTGAGGGAGTTATGTTTAACGCCGCTTTTAACAATATTTCAGTTACATCACGGCGTGTGAGCTTAATGTGGGAGGAAAGCCCGAAGTGGTGCAGGTCTGAGACATTTACCACTTGGGTGAAACCAACGAGCACGGGTATGGTGCTGACAAACCTAGAAACATAATCGGGGCAAACCGGGATTCGAACCCACAATCAAGGGACGCAACTCTGCACAGCGAATTGCGGCGCCTTAGACAACGGGGCCACCTGAGCCCCCTCACCCTTATGATCTGGATGTTGTATTTTTTACATTAATATTTTGTAAAATATATTATGAAATATAATTTAAAGCATAAAAAGATCTTTCTTAGGAATATGCTTTTGATGCATTTGAGAGTGGCCGCGTCCCTTTGTCGCGTCAGGATCCGATGACCATGGGTTTATGTTCCATTTTTAATGTGATTATTTATAGATCAGGGTGCTGTTGTACAAAGCAACCTTAGGGCTACGACTGTCGTACATCTATGTTAAGGTATGGGAGTTACGATCACCTTAGCGCTAAGATCGCTTTGTTCAACGACACCATGGACTATATAGTATAAAGACACGTTTCTTCAGTACCAGTATGATTTTGACGCAAGTAGGCGGTGCACAGAAGTATTTATATTTGGTTTGTTACAGGTACAGTCTGTAGAGAGGATGTACGCATGTTGTGGACCACCCCCTATCCCTTTCTTCACAATGGTACGCGCCAGTGGGCGGACCTCATACATAGTCATAGGGGGTTAATTGTCAGGTCACAACTCAACTTAATCTGGCTTGCCATTAAAACACATCTGTGACGTCATTCTATGGTTTGAACGCTCCATTATTTTTCCGGAATGGAGAGTTGCTTGTCAACTGTACATTATCTTGAAGCAGTCAAATATTTTCAACTACAGAATATTTTGTCAAAGTGTAAAAGTAGGAATGAGTTTTAATTAGGGGAATATCCTCTTAACTCTCCATTCCTTAAAAATAATGGGCCTCGGCCCCTGCGGGGCCTCTGCTCCATTATTTTTAAGGAATGGAGAGTTAGTCAGACGTTCCCCTCTACGTAATTGACACAAAATAAGATATAATTGAAATTAATCATGTTAGTCAAGGCAGCAGTTTTGTTTTATGATAAGCCTGCCCAATTTAGATTTTCTTTTTAAAAACATTCAAATCTATTTCATTTGGTTGCTATAATTAACTTTAGTTCAACATTCATTTTGTTTTAAACGGATAGAAATAATCCATGATATTGATTTATTGCTATTATTGCTCCTGCATTTAAGTATAATGACCAAGCAACACAAGAGAAATTAAAGGGTAAGAATGCATATATTATTGTAACAATTCGGAACATCTACATGTACATACATCGATCCGTGAAGATCCGGGGTAGAATAGGTCTTCAGCAACCCATGCTTGCTGTAAAAGGCGACTATGCTTGTCGTAAGAGGCGACTAACGGGATCGGGTGGTCAGGATCGCTGAGTTGGTTGATGTATATCATCGTTTCCCAATTGCGTAGATCGATGCTCATGATGTCAATCACTGGATTGTCTGGTCTAGACTCGATTATTTACAGACCGCCGTCATACAGCTGGAATATTGCTGAGTGCGGCGTTAAACCGGTCGGTTTAAGTTTAAAAAAAACAAGGCTTGATAAATAAAGCATTTGGTTGGATCGCGAATAAGCTAGTGATCATTAAAGTAATGAGTATGATTCAAAATCCGGCACGATTTCATTTTATGATATCTATTTACGGCAATCCCGGTCTTTTCAATCACGATGAATCCACGATGAGAAAGAGCAGTTGTTTCGCAATGACATACCTGCAGTCATAATGAACGCAAAAAATACGCAAATTGACATCTGAGCGTTCCGTACATGTAAGTAAAATTAATTTCCTCATCAACAGTTTGATTGATGGCTGGGGAGATGAAATATCTTCACATGCTGTGTTGACTATTGTTACAACACACCTGTCAACAAATAAAAATGACACGTGAAATCCCTTACCTGCCTCTGTTTACATTTAAGATGGTATTTTTAGAACATTGCTTGAATTATTTCGTAAACTTTGATTAAACCTGGAAGTAATTACTGTGTTAGTGTGTTTGTTTGTTTGTTTGTTTGTTTGTTTAACGCTGCACTTATCAATATTCCAGGTTTTTGACGGCGGCCTGTAAATAATCAAGTCCAGACCAGGAAAACCAATGATAGATATTATGAGCGACTACCCACTCCGTCCAGGTAGCACAGTCAACGAAGCCTGACTACCCCATCTATTAAGTCGCCTCTTCCGACAAGCTGAGTTTGCTGGGTACCAATTCCAACACGAATCCCCACCTAATTGCAACATTAAACTTGTAATAATGAATATATACTTGGTTAAAATCATAGGGAGATTCTATAAACCCACTGGACTATATAACATATAATTTGTGACCCGTCAAGATCCGGGTAGAGCATAGGTCTTCAGCAACCCATGCTTGCCGTAAGAGGCGACTAATTAAAGGGTAAGAATGCAGATATTATTGTAACCTTTCGGAACATCTACATGTAAATACATCGACCCGTGAAGATTCCGGGGTAGAATAGGTCTTCAGCAACCCATGCTTGCGAGGCGACTAACGGGACCGGGTGGTCAGACTCGCTGACGCTGACTCGTTGATGCATGTCATTGTATTCCAATAGCATAGATCGATGCTCATGATGTCAATCACTGGATTGTCTTGTCCAGACTCAATTATTTACAGACCGTCGTCTTATAACTGGAATATATTAAACAACAATCGAAGAAACAACATATAAGTTGCTCGCGGATGACGTAAAGAATATTATCCTTCTCGAGCCAGTCTCGCATGAATATTCATTGCATCGTCGCTTCAGTTGAATTCGAGTTTACGCCCCTGTTTGTAGCTGCCCACAGACATTATACCGTATTTCTTTAATAAGTGCCAGAAAATCCAACAGTCGCTCCTAAGGGGTTCTTAACACCCATACTGTAACATAGACTAACGACAGTCGCAGAGCAAAGACGATCGTAACACCCATACTGTAACATAGACTAACGACAGTCGCAGAGCAAAGACGATCGTAACACCCATACTGTAACATAGACTAACGACAGTCGCAGAGCAAAGACGATCGTAACACCCATACTGTAACATAGACCAACGACAGTCGCAGAGCAAAGACGATCCTTACACCCATACTGTAACATAGACTAACGACAGTCGCAGAGCAAAGACGATCGTAACACCCATACTGTAACATAGACTAACGACAGTCGCAGAGCAAAGACGATCGTAACACCCATACTGTAACATAGACTAACGACAGTCGCAGAGCAAAGACGATCGTAACACCCATACTGTAACATAGACTAACGACAGTCGCAGAGCAAAGACGATCGTAACACCCATACTGTAACATGGACTAACGACAGTCGCAGAGCAAAGACGATCGTAATACCTATACTGTAACATAGACTAACGACAGTCGCAGAGCAAAGACGATCGTAACACCCATACTGTAACATAGACTAACGACAGTCGCAGAGCAAAGACGATCGTAACACCCATACTGTAACATAGACCAACGACAGTCGCAGAGCAAAGACGATCGTAACACCCACACTGTAACATAGACTAACGACAGTCGCAGAGCAAAGACGATCCTTACACCCATGCTGTAACAAAGACTAACGACAGTCGCAGAGCAAAGACGATCGTAACACCCATACTGTAACATAGACTAACGACAGTCGCAGAGCAAAGACGATCGTAACACCCATACTGTAACATAGACCAACGACAGTCGCAGAGCAAAGACGATCGTAACACCCATACTGTAACATAGACTAACGACAGTCGCAGAGCAGAGACGATCGTAACGCCCATACATTAATATAGACTCGTGACCGTCGCAGAGCTTAAACGATATTATTACTTGCCCGTGAAGAGATCAACTGTTTAATAAACATACAGCTGTATTACACACTGTGTAACACCAAAGCGCGTGATAATGTACTGCGGGAACAAGTCCCACTAACAAACACTGAAAACTCTCAGCATCTCCTTAGTCTTATTCAACGACATTGCGTGTCGAGATGATAGATCACTAAGAGGAGCTTATGCACACTCGATGACCCCAGCAACCTTGCTGCTGGGCTGACGTCACACTGCATTGTTTCGCCGATGGATCTTGCAACAAAATTCCACTAATTACGTCATCGGGTATTTTGACGTGTTGTAAACTTTGTGGTGCAGGACCACGTTCCACAAGGCGATCGTACTGTAGAGCAACGACAGTCGTAAGTCTATGTTGAAGTATGCGAGTTACGATAACTTTAGAGCTACGATAACATTGTGGAACGCCGCCTG